TATTTCTTGTCTTATGATTTCTGGACCTTTTACTCTTTGGGATGCCTCCTTGGGATGCTGGTTGGCTTGTTAATGTCTGAGTGTGGTCTCATTGATACCACACACCTTCAATTTATTAACACGAAACGTGGCAAAACAAGGTCTGCCTGTATATTGGTTTTAGCCAACAGTTCTAAGTTTTAAGGCTTGACAATAAACCTCTGTGTCTGGACACTGTCCTCTGGGCTCATCAAGGTGGTGGCTCCACCCTCTTGGCCTTGGGCAGCAGCCCTGCTCTCTGGATCTGAGGAGGGAACCCCTGGGCCTGTGGTGGCAACGGCAGCTTCCCTGGCCTCTGAAGCATCATCAGAGTCATTCTTCCCTTTTCTTGAAGGATAGTACATATTTGCATCCATATAGCTCTGTTTTAGCCTGTTTCCTGCCGATCGTACCCAGAAGTCTCACAGCCTTTCTTCATTTTGTCCCATCTCTGTCCCCCTTCAGTGCAAGCTGTCAGGGTTTCTGCTGAGATGGTTGATTGGATTCACAAGCCACACCCTTACTGTTGTCTCCAGAACATGCTGTCTCATTTTTTGTATCTTTTGCAATATGGATAGGGTGAGAACTTTCTGAATCTTCAAGACTGGGCTTTTTTTTTGTTTAACAATTCCTTCTTCAATTTATCTCTCTCCTCTTGCATTTTACTCTAGTCAACAAGGAGAAACCAGGCAGTGCCTTCAACACTTTGCTTAGAAATCCCCTTAGCTAAGTGTCTGAGCTCATTGCTTACAAGTTCTCCTTTATACTCAACAGAACACATTTCAACCAAGTTCTCTGTCACTGTATAAAAAGGATCACCGCTCTTCCAGTTTCCAGTAACACAGTCTTCATTTCTGTCAGAGATCTCACCAAAAGGACTTTTAATATTCATATTTTTAGCAACATTCTGTTCATAATAATATAGGTATTCTCTAGAACAGTAGAGGCTTTCTGCACAGCTCTCCTCTTTCTGAGCTCTCCCCAGAATCTCCTTTAACTTCCATATTTCCACTAACATTCTCTTCTGGATAATCTAGCCTTTTTCTATCCTGCATCTTCAGACTCTTCCAGACTATCCATTACCGAATTCCAAAGCCACTTCCACATTTTGGGTATTTGTTACAGCAGTATCTCACTTCCCTATAGCAAAATCTGTGTTAGTTTCCTAAGACTGTCATAACGAAGTACTTCTAACTGGGTGGTTTAAACAACAGAAATTTATTGTGTCACAGTTCTGGAAGCTAGAAGTTCGAGATTAAAGTGTTGGAAGGCTTGGTTCCTTCTGAGGGCTATGAGGGAGAATCCAGTCCAAGCCTCTCTTCTAGCTTCTTCTTTTTTTTTTTTTTTTAACATTTTAAAAAAAATTTATTTTTGGCTGTGTTGGGTCTTCGCTGCTGTGTGCGGGCTTTCTCTAGTTGCAGTGAGAGGGGACTACTCTTCATTGCAGTGCGCGGGTTTCTCACTGTGGTGGCTTCTCTTGTTGCAGAGCATGGGCTCTAGGCACGTGGGCTTCAGTAGTTGCAGCATGCAGGCTCAGTAGTTGTGGCGCACAGGCTTAGTTGCTCCACAGCATGTGGGATCTTCCTGGACCAGCGATTGAATACATATCTCCTGCATTGGCAGGCGGATTCTTATCCACTGTGCCACCAGGGAAGTCTCTCTTCTAGCTTCTCATGGTCTGCTGGCAATCTTCGGCATTCCTTGGCTTATAGATGCATCACCCTGATTTCTGTCTTCATCTTCATATGGTGTCTTCCTGTGTTTCTTCATGTAATCTTCCTTCTGTACATATCTGTCTCCAAATTTCCTTTTATATAAGGCCACTGGTCTTATTGGATGGGGGCCTGCCCTAATGACCTCATTTTAACTTATTACCTCTGTAAAGACCCTATTTCCAAATGAGGTTACATTCTGAGGTCCTGGGGGTTGGAACTTCAGCATGTCTTTTAGGGAGGACACAGTTTAACCCATACCACTCATTAATAAATTAGAAGCATATGTTAGCAGTAAGTCAAGATTTTCAAATACAGGTTATCATTATTTCTGCTTAAATAAAACACAGATTTGCATTAGTATTCACTTATTAACTAGTCTGTTCATTCATTTAGCATTTATTGAATTCCTACTCTGTGCCAGATATTCTCCAGGGTTATGGGGTTCTTGAACTTGGATGAGAAACAAGTTACATCTCTATTTTCGATAACCTCTGATTGAAAGATGGCATTTCTTTCCATTATGAATGTTGGTAACAAACCACAGTAGTATTAGCAGGACCTGTAATTTTATTACATAGATTTTTTTTCATATCACATTACAATTGTCGCAGATACTTCAGATTACAGTTTATGATCTTCACTACCTTGAAATTATGAGAGACTACAGTTTCCACTAGATCTTGAATGCTCCAAAGAAAATAAGAAGACACTGTATTCTTAGATAAGTGTATATATTACTAAATCAAAATTTTAAAAGAATGTAGATAACTGTATTACTTTTTTTTTTTTTTTTTTTTGCGGTACGCGGGCCTCTCACTGTTGCGGCCTCTCCCGTTGCGGAGCACAGGCTCCGGACGCGCAGGCTCAGCGGCCATGGCTCATGGGCCCAGCCGCTCCGCGGCATGTGGGATCTTCCCGGACCGGGGCACGAACCCGTGTTCCCTGCATCGGCAGGCGGACTCTCAACCACTGCGCCACCAGGGAAGCCCAGATAACTGTATTTCAATATAATTGCTTTGTTTTGTAGTCTATGTATTTTGTGCATTTAAAAATTCTATTCTGAGAAGGGTCCATAGGATTTAGCAGATTCCCAGGAAGTTTATTGTACAAAAAAGATTTAGAAACATTGTTGTAAATGCTGGAGCTAAAGTAATGAACAATTCAGGTAAGGTACATAGTCCCATGGAACTTACCTTGGGGATAGGCACACAGGAGCCAGACATGGAAGATCTATGATCTAGATTTAGGTCTACGATCTAGAGACACCCTGGCAAAAAGGAAGAGCCAGTGTAAGCCTTGAAGGTGGGGCAAGCTTGGTGTGACCACAGAATAACCAGGGTGCTAGTATGGCAGGATTAAGTGGATGGTGGGGAAGAGACAGGTCATTCTAAGTGAAGAGAGTAGGAGAAATAAGAGAAACCACATCACGTAGAACACTTAGGCAACAGTGATAGGTTTCAATTTTATTCTAATTACATTAGTCATACATTGAAAATATTTTAAAAATCTCTAAAATATACAAATGAGTGTATTTTGTGGTAAAATACACCTAGCATAAAATTTACCATCTTAACCATTTTCAAGTGCACAGCTCATTGGCATTAAGTACATGAACATTGGTGTGCTACCATCGCCACCATCCATCCACAGAACCCTCTTCATCTGGCAAAACTGAACCTCTGTAGCCATTAAACAGTAACTCCCCATTCCCCACTCCTCCCAGCTTTGGTGATTTTTGAGCAGGGCAGTAACAAGAGGTGTTTTACATTTGAAAAATCAGACGTTTGCTCTATGGAGAAAATATTGCTAGGCAAGAAGAGGGACACTAACAGGAAACTGGTTACGAAACACTGCAGATGAGATGTGATAGTGAGAGAACCACAGTGTTAGCAGAGGTTGATTCAAAATACATTTTGGCATTAAATCGTCAGACAGCATTTGATGATTGGAATGAGTATGGGTTCTTTTTTAGGCATGTTAAGTTTGAGTTGCCTATTAGATTAGACATCTGAGTGGAGGTGCCAAATAGATAGTTGGGTGTCCAAGTCCAGAGCTCAGGATAGAGGCCAGTGTATATATACTATAATCTATTTGTGAGTCATGGGCAAGTGGGTGGTGTTTAAAGCGATGGGATTGGCTGAGATCATCAGGGGAGATAATATAGATAAATAAGGGGTGCAGGAATAATCCCTGGGGCACTCTTATTTTTTAGAGGTCAAGCTGAGAAGAGGACTCTGTGAATGCCCCAGCTAGCCTCAGAGAGCTGAGTGCTGCAGGAATCTGGATCTGGGCTCAGAGAAGGAGGCAAAGCTACCAATTTAAAATTCCATCTTACCTCTGGTTTTAGCAGGTTGTACCGAGTCTGGCTGTGAGAGATGGGCTATCCACTGCCCTATCTTATGTCTATACCTAGAACATCTAGGATGGGACTGGGGTAGAGTGAAATGGTGGGACCAAGAAGAATTCTTAGTCATTTGTAAGACTCCAACAATACTTTTTGAACTTAAACACATACTATCCTATATATGTAATTCATATAATACGTATTTAACTAAGGAAAGAGGGGGTAAATATTTTACTATAGAAAACCTCTGAGTATATTTTATCTTCCCATAAATTAGTGATGTTAAAAGTACATTTTAATTCTCTCTGTCATGATAGACTATTATATATTATATCTCAATAGCTATTTGTTTGCTTGATCATGCAAGGCTTAAAAAGTGGTCCAAAAACAAATTTAAAAACTATGTGATTTTTATGTCTATATGATTTTTTGGGGGGAGGTGGCTCACGTAAAACAATCCAGGTGTTTCCACCCCAAGTCGTCTTTAACTGTCCAACAGTGTATTGTTTCTAAATATATTGTTTGAAAAATCAATTTTACAACATGGGGTATAGTATCACTTGAGAAGTTCATGCTGTTCTTTTTTTCAGTTGGTCGCCAGACCCTGAACTCTTGGGCAGGATTCTGATGAATGAATTTTGAAAATATTGAATGTCATTTGTCTTGTACTGTGATGCTTTTAGCAGTCGATGGTTTGCTAATTATTTGGAAACCTCTCACCCCTTTGTTCTAGAAAAGCATTCCGGCTTTTGTGTGTGTTCCCCTTTGCCATACTCAAACATTTGGGAAATGGAAATAGGGAAGTAGTAGCTTCTTAGAAAAACTATAGATGAATGGAACAGGAACTGCAAAATTGGCAAAATGTAACAGGAACTGTTGATCTTGTACATTATTGCTTTTGCTTATTTTTTCTCCTTTGCTAGGAGACCTGTTATGATGATGTGTGTAATCCTCACCACGCTTCCCAGCTTCAGCTTTTCTATAGCAGTGACCAAGGTATGGAATTTTGATTTCTTGTCCTGCAAGATTTTGAGTTTTTAAAATGTCCCCTGTTATTAAAATTTCATAGAGTGGTGTGCCCAAACAAATTTCTTGAAGTTTATTATCTCCGGTCTTATTCTAAGTTGCAATATATATATTTAAGGTACTAAGATCATTGTTACCTCTGTGATTGTGGAGGAAAGTATAGCAGCCAATTAGAAAAATTGCTTCTGTGTTTGTATGTGTGAGAAAGGAAAGTTATTTGAAAATAATAAAACAGCAAGGAATTTGAGAGTACATCCACATGTGTTTCTTCTAACCTGATGTTTTTCATGAGTGTCCTCGGTTCTAAATGCAATATCCAATCAATATCCAAGGGAACAACCACTCACATGCTAAAGCTTTGATAAGATTCCATTGACAAATAATTTGTACACGATGTTTATTTGAAAATAAATTTGAGTTTATGTTTCAATAAACGCAGCTACAAAGGGACTCTGATGAATGGATATCTGCAGGGCAGGAATACTATAGGCAGAACTTTCAGCCTGTGAGGACTCTATTACCCAGAGAGTTCAAAGCAAAATACCCTGCTAATCTTACTAATTTTCAAGGTGCTGTGAAAGATTTGATTTTATTTATTTATAAGATTTTCATTTACATGCTGAGCAGGTAGTCATTAAGTGCTTATTACATGCCAGATACTGTGTTAGAAACTGAGGATAGAGCACTTAGAAAATTTGACAGTCTCTGGCCTTCAGTAATTTTTTATTGACAGTAGAGAGAAAAATAAACAGGCAGTTAGAATAGGTATGATCAGTTCTGTGAGAGAGGTGAGTACCAGGTAGTGGATGACATCATTAGAAATTACATGACTGTTGGGAGATGTCCTACATGTAGCATTAGGACAATACATGAACACACAGAATAACCTCAGAAGGCCACACAGATGGACTTTGCATCAAATTGCAACACAAAAATATTTTAATCTAGATTTATCATTTTCTCCTTCCTCCGCAAAGACCTTGTAAAGCACTTGGGAGGTTCCCAAGAGCTTTGAAAATTCAGTGTACAACACTTTCAAGGAACACCACTATCACAGATAATGCTCTATCTACAGTTTAATTGCTCTTTTGGGGATTCTTTCCCGTATGTCTCACCTGCTGTTGGATATTTTTCTTTCCTTTTTTTCTTATTTTTCACTGAAATCTAACACACAAACAGAAAACCTCACACAACATAAATACACAATGTTAATGGAATACCACGAAGCAAACTCCCATAGAAACACTACTCAGGTCAGGGCTTCCCTGGTGGCGCAGTGGTTGAGAGTCCGCCTGCCGATGCAGGGGACACGGGTTCGTGCCCCGGTCCAGGAGGATCCCGCATGCCGCGGAGCGGCTGGGCCCGTGAGCCATGGCCTCTGAGCCTGTGCGTCTGGAGCCTGTGCTCCGCAACGGGAGAGGCCACAACAGTGAGAGGCCCGTGTATCACAAAAAAAAAAAAAAAAAAAGAAACACTACTCAGGTCAAAAAATAAAACTTTGTCAACGCCCTAAAAGCCACTTCCAATGACTACCTTTCCCTCCATCCCAAAGGTAACTTCTATCTTAACTCCTAATACCACAGGTACCACAGTTTAGTTTATCTGTTTTTGAAAGTTTTATGAAGGGAAATCAAATTATCTATTATCTATCTACCTACCTATCTAATTTGCCTCTGGCTCCTTTTATTCAAAAGTATGATTCCTTCATGTTTTTCTGGCTAGCTGTAGTTCATTCATTTCCGTTCCTGTATTTCATTTCATGTTATGAATTTATCGTATTTTATGAATTCATCATTTTATGAATATATCACACTTTATTCATCAGTTCTACTCTTTGTTTTTAAATGGGCAAAATATTTTAATAGGCATTTCACAAAGAAGATCTACAAATAGCAAACAAGCACATAAAAACATGCTGAACATTATTGGTCATCAGAAAAATGTAAGCTAGATCACAATGTGATACTACTACATACCCACAAGAGTGGTTAAAATTTTTTTTTTGTTTTTGTTTTTTTGAATTAATTTTTATTGGAGTATAGTTTCTTTACAATGTTGTGTTAGTTTCTGCTGTCCAGCAAAGTGCATCAGCTATACGTACACATCATCAGTTCTGCTCTTAATGGCCGTTTCAGTTTCCAGTTTTTGCTGCTGTGAATATCCTGGAACATGTCTCTTGGTGCCCATGTGCAAGCATTTCAGTTGGTTAAATGTGTAGGAGTAGAACTGATGGGTCACAAGATGTTCAAGTACTCAGTTGTAACTGACAGTGTCAGTTCTTCAAAGAGAGTATACTAATTTAGACTTCCACCAGCAGAGAACGAGCGGTCTTCGTGTTCCATATCCTCAGCAGCACTTGCTTTTTTTTTTTTTTGCGGTACGCGGGCCTCTCACCATTGCGGCCTCTCCCGTTGCAGAGCACAGGCTCCGGACGCGCAGGCTCAGCGGCCATGGCTCACGGGCCCAGCCGCTCCGCGGCGCGTGGGATCTTCCCGGACCGGGGCACAAACCCGTGTTCCCTGCATCGGCAGGCGGACTCTCAACCACTGCGCCACCAGGGAAGACCAGCACTTGCACTTAAAGTCTTTTTATTTTAACCATTCTGGTGAGTATGTTCTTGAATTTCATTGTAGTTTTCAATTGCATTTCCCCAATAATTAATGAGATTGAGCATATTTTTCATCTTGCCCATTTTTCCTAATGTCTTGCTTATCTTTAAAAATTGATTTGGAAGAATTATTTGTATATTCAGATTTCAAGCCCTTTTTTGATTATATGTATTGCAAATACCTTTTCACTCTGTGACTTTGTACTCTTTTTTTTTTTTTTTTTTTGCCGCGGTACGCGGGCCCCTCACCGCCGTGGCCTCCTCCGTCGCGGAGCACAGGCTCTAGACGCGCAGGCCCAGTGGCCATGGCTCATGGGCCCAGCCACCCTGCGACATGTGGGATCCTCCCACACCGGGGTACAAACCCGCGTCCGCGGCATCGGCAGGCGGACTCCCAACCACTGCGCCACCAGGGAAGCCCATGTGACTTCGTACTCTTAATGGTATCTTTTGATGGAGAGAAGCTCTTAATTTTAAGAGTCCAATGCATCAATTTCTTTTCTTTATGGATAGTTCTTTTGGTTACTTGTTTGAGACGATTTTGTCATATTGTGAATCTGAACCTTGAGGTCCTGAAGATACTCTCCTATATTATATTTTGGAGGCTATATTATTTTGCCATTCTCTTTTAGATTCACAATCCACCTGGAACTAATTTTTGTATATGTTGTGCAGTAGGGAATCAAGCGTTTTTTCCCAAATAATATCTAATGAACTGAGTACCATTTATTAAAAAGTCTGTCCTTGCCACATTTATTTGCAGTGCTGTCTTTGTTATAAATCAGATGTGGGTATACCTGGTCTATTCTGAGCTTTCTTTTCTGTGCTGCCTACTTCTCTATTCCTGTGCCAACACCACACTGTCTTAATTCTTGTAGCTTTATAATAGCTCTTTATATCCAGAAAAGTAAACATTCCGATCTTCTTTTTCTTCTAGAATTGCTTGCACTTGGTATTCTCATATTCATTTTTAAAATTTTTTTTACATCTTTATTGGAGTATAATTGCTTTACAATGGTGTGTTAGTTTCTGCTTTATAACAAAGTGAATCAGTTACACATATACATATGTTCCCATATCTCTTCACTCTTGCATCTCCCTCCCTCCCACCCTCCCTATCCCACCCCTCCAGGCGGTCATAAAGCACCGAGATGATATCCCTGTGCTATGCGGCTGCTTCCCACTAGCTATCTACCTTACGTTTGTTAGTGTATATATGTCCATGCCTCTCTCTCGCTTTGTCACAGCTCACCCTTCCCCTCCCCATATCCTCAAATCCGTTCTCCAGTAGGTCTGTGTCTTTATTCCTGACTTACCCTTAGGTTCTTCGTGACATTTTTTTTCTTAAATTCCATATATATGTGTTAGCATACGGTATTTGTCTTTCTTTCTGACTTACTTCACTCTGTATGACAGACTCTAGGTCTATCCACCTGATTACAAATAGCTCAATTTCGTTTCTTTTTATGGCTGAGTAATATTCCATTGTATATATGTGCCACATCTTCTTTATCCATTCATCCGATGATG